GAGTCTATGGGCTTTTTTATTTCAAACTGAATTCTAAAATCAAAAAAACCACACCAATTTCTTCCGAATCAAACTTTTCTCGCTTGATACTACGTAGTCTCACTAAAAACCCTTAGTCCCCCCTAGTCCTGCAAAGTCCCCCTTAGTCCCCCCACAAAAAGCTTAGTCCCCGCTTAGTCCCCTGTGCAGGGGACTAAAGCCTATAGTACACAAAACCACAAGCACACCCTCATCCTCACTCGCGCGCCCACACCCGCACCATGGGTGTGGGTGTGTGTGTGGGTCCCAGACCAACACCCACACCCTCAGTCACCCCCCTCCCCTCACTCCTAGACTCACGTTTCAGTTTGAAATCAAGTATTATTTTTATTTGATAAATTCAGACTGAAATTAAATAGCCCATTGTATGCAAAATTAGAAGGTTTAAATATCCTTCATAAAATTAATCGAATAGTCACAGATGGTGCACCAAATCTATCGAAAGCAATATCTTTTATGAAAATCAATGCACAGCATATCTGATGCATAGGTCATCGATTGCATTTAGCTGTAACAAATGCTTTAGCATTATGGCCAAAGAAACAAAAACAAAATGGTGGTGAATTTAATCAAGGTAAGAAGATAAACTCGTAAGTACACAAGTATGAAGTCAACTTCATATATACTTGGTACAGAACTACCTGAATATCTTTATTTGCTGTTGCCTTTTTGTTGGTAAAGGAGAGTGATTTATTTTAGAACAAATACAAACGACTAGAGCGCTTTTTATATTGTTCTCATTTGAATATGATAAAGCTTTATGAATAATGCTGTCTTTACTTATGTAAATGTTGAGCGAATAGAGTTAGTTTAATTTGAAGTAACTGAAAATAGGATATTTAGCGTTAAGTATCTTGTCAAATATATATTCAAAGTTAAAGAAATGAATATAATCTGTAATTAAAGCGCGTAATATGCTTATACTGAACATTAATTGCATACACACTGTTCATCTAAAACTTATACCTTAGATTCATTGCAAAGTCAGTAGGATATGTATAATTGCAATACTGAGTTCATGACGGAAATGAATTACAAAGTAACTCAAAAAAATGAATTACAAAGTAATTCAAAAAAATGAATTACAAAATAATTCGAATTTTATTAATATGTTCTAACTAATTGACCAGGTACTACCAGGTATTACCAGAGTTTACTAGGGTTTGCATGGGTGTGAGTGTAGGTATAGGTGGGTGGCTATGGGTGTCGTGTGATTCTTTTCTTCCATGAACATGCAAATCCATACCCCACAGCCACACCTATACCCGCATCCACACCCACGCACCCACACCCACACTCACACCCACTCCCTGGTAGTAGTACCTGGTAGTATCTGGTAGTACTTGGTAGTATCTGGCAGTTCTGGTAGTACTTGGTAGCACCTGGTAGTACCTGGTAGTATCTGGTAGCCTCTTGTAGTCCCTTGTAGTACTTGGTAGTATCTGGTAGTGCCTGGTAGTATCTGATAGCCCCTTGCAGTCTCTGGTAGTACTTGGTAGTACTTGGTAGTACCTGGTAGTGCCTGGTAGTATCTGGTAGCCCCTTGTAGCCCCTGGTAGTATTTCGTAGTATTTCGTAGTACTTGGTAGTACCTGGTAGTTCCTTGTAGTCCCTGGTAGTCCCTTGCAGTCCTTTGTAGTCCCTTGTAATCCCTTGTAATCCCTTGTAGTACTTGATAGTACCTGGTCAATTGGCGAAAGGTTATTTCTTTCGAGATTTCGTGATGTTTTATCTAGAAGAGGTTTATTACCCGATAATCAGTCGGGTTTTAGAGATGGTTTTCGTCTCCAAACTCGTTTATTGTTATTTCTGGAGGACATATATAGTCTTATGGCAAATAGTGCCCCTGTATGTACCAGTTTTGTTGATTTTTGTTCTGCGTTTGATCAATTACGGCATGAGGGCTGTGTGGGCAAACTAAAGAGATTAGGTATTCCTCCTTCTTATTTAAGATGGATAGAAGCTTGGCTTCTTGATAGAAGGTGCTTTATTGAGATAAATAGTAATAAATCCAGGTGGTTTTCAATTGGAAAAGGTGGCCCTCAGGGTAGTGTGTTAACTCCCACTTTATTCATTAGTTATCATTGTGATATGGGACAATTTCTTTCTCAATGTACTAGTCATTTTTTTGCTGACGACGTCGCAGCTGTACTTACAGGACAATTAGGAGTACGATATACTAATCAATGTATTGATCTTGAAAAACGTATTAAATCTTTTCTTGATTCACTCGAATATTATTCTTGTTTAGCTGATCAGCCCTTAAATAGAACTAAAACTGAAGCTATGTTTAGTGCTCGTGCAATAGGACCCCCGAATTTTAACATTACATTTGATAGTGGTGATGATAAATGTATTAATTGGAAAAAGGAGTACAAATATCTTGGCTATATCATCTCATCTAGACTTGGATGGGGGAAGTTACTAAAGGATACAGAATGTAACGTTAGGAAGAGAATAGCACTTATCAAATCGTTTAAATTGTTTGGTTTTTCGTCCCCTAGTCTTCGTAAAGCTCTGTTTTATTCACATGTCCTTCCTTTATTCACCTGGTTGTATCCCTTATATCCGCTATTTACTCGAAAGCAGCAGCAGGACCTCTCTCAGTTTTACTACTCCTCCCTTCGTCGTACTCTGTGTTGCCTCGAATGGAATGAAAATTTTTTTCATATGTTCTTGATGAAATATCCTTAAAAGATCGTTGTTCCTTATATTGGAATAGGTATCTTAGAGCTTTATCTAATTTGCTTGATGGTAATCTAATTTTTGAAAAAGCTAACCTTGCTGAATTTAGGAAAAGTTGGTTGGATAAGGAGTTCTCCATCATGGGGTTGAGAAGATCTAAAAGATTCGTCCCTTATGAATCAATTTTAGAAAAAGTTTTAACTTGGCTTTCGTCGGTTCCTTCTAACTCTTCTATACCACATTATGAAATGTCTGAAATTGAGCTACTTCAACTCTTTCCTGATTCGTTTTGTTAAAGCTGTGATCAATGTCTTTTTCTATCCGTGTTAACTGTTGTTTAAATTTTGTTCATGTTGTTCATGTGCAGTCTGTTCTGTACGTGTGCCCGTTTCTTCTTTTTTTTCTTTTGTTTATTTTCTACTTTGCACTTTGTATTCATTTTGGATGTGGTTTTCTCATCAGCGTTTTTTGTTTCCTCTGCATTGTTACATGTAGAATCTTTGCTTCTTTTTGTATCTTCTGTGAACCTTTTTTCATTTTTTTTCTCTCTCTCTCTTCTCATTTCTAGTACTGTTAGGATCTTAGGATCGCAGTGATTGCATAATAAAAAAAAAAGTACCTGGTCAATTAGTTAGAACATATTATTAGAATTTGAATTATTTTGTAATTCATTTTTTTGAATTACTTTGTAATTGATTTCCATCATCCAGTGGCAATACTGGTAGTACCTAGTAAGTGAACTGTTTCGTAAATGTTAGGTGCACGAAATTACGAGTCTTCAAAAGTTCGATACTAACTTTTTCTGTAAAGATGTCGGTTCAATCTATTTCTTAATACATTTATCGTGTCTCCTTTTGATATTGAAATTCTTTCAAAACATTGCATTCTCTAAATTTTGTGGATGCAATGGCAAAAAAATACCGTTGTAATATTCCAGGAAAATCCTAGATTGCAACTATTCTGAAGAAATTTTCTTAAAAACAACTTTTACATCTTTAATGTTTAAATGCTCAATATACTAATGCAAATTTGAATAATCAACTTATTATAGATGAAAAACCCCATTCAACATATGAACGATCACCAACAACTGGTGCTTATCAACATAATCAATTACACAAGAACAATCATGTTGTAGCATTTTCTAATAACAAAGAGGTAGTTGGTGGTGGTATTATTGTGGAAGACTATGATGATGTTGGTAAAGAAAACCTATTTACAGATAATAATGACAATGAATCTGTCTTATTGAATGATGATCAGCATATTGAAGATTATGGTAATTATGATGGCAATGATGAAGATTACAATGATAACAAAAATGATGATGATTATGACGATGATGCAAATATTGATAATGATCATACTGATGATAAAAATGATGATGACAACAATAATGATAATGACCGAGCTGATGATAAAAAAGATGATGAAGATGATGATGCTGTTGATGCCGATGATAGTGATGATAATGAAGATAATTGGAGAGTAGGTGCTGAAGTTGATCCCAATGATCCAACATTAACAAAAGAACAACAATTAACCTTATCTGTATTGATTAAATGTCGTAAACTGATTGATATGATTCGAAAATCTTCAATTTTAACTTTATATATCAACATCGTAAAGAACTAAAAAAAAACGTAATGTACTTCGTGATGTTTGGACACGTTGGAATTCTTCATACATGATGATTGATTCATTAAAATATGTTCCACCAATAATTGAAAAGTTATACAATGATAAATATCGTTTAAATATAAAAAATGATCAAGTCGAAAAATTAAATGAATTGGAAATTACTAGTACCGAATGGAATCATTTAAATCAATTACATCATGTTTTGAAAGTGTTTTATAATGCTACAAATATTGTTTCTGGAAAAACTTATCCTGCAATGAGTTCGGCTTATTTCATTTTCATTAAATTGAAATCATTCCTAATGAAAGACTCAAAGGAAAATATGACTGTTAAAAGATTGAAAAAATTATTATTATCAAAACTGATTCATTATTTTGAAGAAGACGAAGTTCAATTAAATCTTTTAAAAGTAAGTAAAAGCAAGTAATATAATTGCTGTTACTATTAAACAATCATCTATACAGTTTTTCATTGTTCTTAAAGACAATAATAAGCATAAAGATGGTAATCTCAATGTTTTGTTGTAGTTACAAGTATGATAAGTTCAAACATTGGATATACTTGATCTTACCATGACGTAAAAAAAGAGAGTACAAATCACGAGTTCTCCTAATTTCATAAATGTAAACCAACGAAAAATTTCAATACATGTTGCAAATATTTTTTTTTCTTTTACAAAAATTTAAGACGTTTGTCTTCAATGAATAATTTTTTTCTAATCGAAGGAAATACTTTATAATTGTCCTATTTTCTGTTACTATTTTTAGATCCGAAAGAGCCTTTGCTTCGAATAAATTCTGATGGAACTGAGTACTTTCTGATCATATGAGAGTCTAAATTTAATATCACAACGTTAACATGTTTACCAAATGATTTCATGCTTAGATGAATCCAAAATAGTTAAAACTGGACAGTTTTATGGGCACTTTTAAAATCAAGTTGAAATGCTTGCATCTTATAATGTAGCTCAGATCATATTACGAGTACAAACTAGAACGAGACTACGTAAAGGTTCAATGCCAGTAACTAAACTACTATATATTATGAATATTTACGACAAATAGAATCAACTAACTGTTTAACTCCTTGATAAAATAAAAAGAATTATCCGTGCGAACATTAAATTAATAGATCTCCTACCATTTTCCAGTCGAAAAATCGATACTTTTGAATGAAAGATCTTTAATAATAAGAAAAGAAATTCTTATAGAACAAACAAAAATTTGTCTCTTTCTAATCTTGTATATTTCCATTTCAGTTTCATAGTTATTTTGATCCAACTGGATATCGGGCTTTATCTGATGCTGATAAACGATCAATCGAATATGATATCAAACAAATGTATGCTGATGATTCGATGAACATCAATAGTTCATCACTATCATCATCATCATTAACAACAGCTGAATTAGTTAATTCTGAGGTGAATTCTACATCTAATACAATGGCAACAACAGCTCGTGCAAATTCATCATCATCATCAAAAGCTTATATGAATAAAAAACTAACAGCCATGGAAATATTTTTGAACAGTGTCGGTGACGACATTGTCCCGAATAATACTACTACTTCTCGTGCAACAATAATTGAAGAACTACATAATTATCGATCATTAGTAAACAAATATAACACTCAAAATCTACCAGATACATTTTGTTTTCTTACGTTTTGGAAAAATTATGAATTTACACTACCTTATCTTTTCAAATTAGCACAAAAATTTGGATGCACACCAGCAACTAGTGTTCCAGCTGAATCAGCATTTTCAACAGCATGTTTTGTGTACAAAAAAGAACGATCACGATTATCGGCAAAAACACTAGAAGCGACTGTTTTCTTAAAAGTAAGTATTACAACTATATAACATGTCGCATAATTAAGTATTGTCTATAATCTAAGTAACATGATATTTTTGCTAATGCTCGTCAATATGCGATTATGTTAGTTGAGTACATTTAACCAGTGTAGTATCTCGACAATAAAAAATGAATTGTTGGATTGGTAACGGATGTCGTGACCTAAATATGCTGAGACGTCTAGTATCTTTTTGTAAGAAAATCATTTATAATTATTTCGTTTATCATTCTAGGACAAACTTGATGAATAAATATACAATGGCAACTGTTTTCTACCTGCTCAAATATTTGACTTTTTACTGTTTTCAGGTCTTGTATATTTTTTCTTATGTATCTGGTCAAACTGTAGTTGAATTTTTTCTACATATCTTTTTTTGTGTATATCATTTATATATGACGTGTTTTTTTATTTTTCTGTTATACATTTTATTCTTAGTTATTACCATAAAATTTTGTTTGAATTAGGATGGTATTATTTATAACACTATGAAATATATAATAAAAGTGCAAGTTTAGTCTTACAAAGACTTACAAGACATTGTGTTTTTCTCATAATATTTTGAACTTTGCTATTTAATTTTGCAAAATAGAAGAACTTCTTCCTGTGTTGTCTAATGTAAATTACCAATACTGCTGGAGTATATTAATAACTAGCGAGAATCCGTGCATACTGCACGACTAGTTTCTCCTTTAACATATGACTTCAGACATTTAACTTTTCATCATATAACAGACATACAGATACGCGATATTATGTATATAGATTAAAGCCTTACGGCCTCATACTCTTATATCGCACATATTTTTATAGTCCATGCAGCCTTATGTCCTCATAGCCTTATATCCCTTGTACCTCTTGTAGCCTTATCGCTTTATTCTCTTACACCCTTCAGGACCTATGGGTACCCTATAGAACGGCCCTTGAGAATCCATAGGTATCCTCATATAATAGCCCTTGAGGGTCTATGGGTACCCACATATAATAGTCCTTAAGGGCCTATGAGTACCTCTGTAGGATAGCCTTTGAGGAACTATGGATATCCCCATATAATAGCCCATGAGGACCTATGGTACCTCCATATAATAGCCAATGAGGACCTATGAGTACCTCCATAGGACAGCCTATGAGGACCTATGGGTACCTCCATATAATAGCTCATGAGAACCTATGGGTGCCTCCATAGAATAGCTTGTGAGAACCTATGGTCCCTTCATATAATAGCTCATGAGGACCTATGGGTACCTCCATAGCATAGCCCGTGAGAACCTAGGGGTACTTCTATATAATAGCCCTTGAGGACCTATAGGTACCTCTACATAACAGACTTTGAGGACCTATGGTTACCTCCACATAATAGCCATTGGTGCCTTTCCTTATAGCCTTATTTGGCCATTAACGCTTGACCTTTGACCCGGCACAGACAAATAGACAGACACAGACACACTGAACATTATATATATAGAAGATATTTTACGTTATAACGATTGGCACATAGAGATATAAGAATACTCAATCAATTCCATATTATTGCTTATATCAGTATTTTATCAGCCTGAGAATCAATGCATTGCAATATATTAGAAAAGAGGGAAGTACTGCTCGATTAGCGGAATAAAGATCAAATGACTAAGTACCCAGTCGTGACTGGGACCCAGTTACTGGCACTGGTGCATCCCTAGATCCAAGAACTAAAAATTATTCAAATAATGTTTCTTAACCTTCTGATGATAGACAATGCTTTGAAAAAAAAACCGACTTGAAAGCATGAAGAATCGTTTATGAAATGAGTTTGGCGTCAATTATCGATGACAGTTAAATACCACTGACCTGTGCCTTTGCAAATTTGATAGAATACAAAATTTCAAGAAAATGCTTCATTACACTTTTTTCAAGTTTTTTCTTTCAACGAAAGAAAACACTGTCATATATGGGCGATATTGTGTCTATTCTCATTGCGCAATGTAAGACAGAGAAACTAAATTCTGTGACGAAGATGATCGTTTGCTTTACATTTGATATATCTTCTATACTGATACATGAGTAAATTAGCAATCAACTGCGGAATCATCCCATTTTATTCGGAGACATAATCGAACGCATATTGCATCACAAGAAAATAGTGGCGTAGTCAAGGAATTGGAGGTTGAGTCCCTTCTTTTACTGGAGCTTTAAGTATCTCCTCCCTCACACACTTGGAATTTTCAAAATGATCTTTTGGTAGTAGAAACTGAAGGAGCAAAACAAGCATGTGCAATCTCTTTCATTTGATAGTGTACAGCTATTTTCTGGAGAAGCCAGAGCAGCGAATGGATGTGAACCCCAATAATTTAAAATTATACTACGGTGTGTGCAACACGTCACCAAATTTTATGAAAATTTAGAACTGGTTACTTTTTTCGTTAAAAATCTCAAGCTAAGCAACTTTCTCACCAAAAAATGATGACGAACCATGTTCTAAAAACATTCGCTTCACAACAATCAACAGCTACATGACTGTAGCCGTTCTAAAATGTTTCTATTTTTCCTTGTTATTACAAGCTTAGTCTCTTTTTTTTCTCAAAAGCGTTTTGTTTTAGAAAATTTGTCACAAGCGTGACCAATTTCGGCGGTGAAACCGCTAAGCAATATTATTAACTGAACTCGATAACGCTTTCCTTTTCAGAAAGAAAAATAATGGAAAGCGGAGTTTTGTCATGATTCCGCAAAAACTTCTCGTTTCACGAAACAGTGACTGCTGTGCAAGCGAAGTTAACATCAAACTCTTTCAATGTTGATATTAAACCTTGGCGTGTATTTCTCTTCGGAAAATATTGCTTTAGATCAGAACTCATCAGTATAGCCACCTACGGTGGCAAAAAGCTAAAGTATACTTTTTGAAAATTCAATATCAAGACATTTTCATTCGAAAGCCTTGCAAGAGAAAGTCGATATTTTTTGAAAGGTTGCGAAAGTTTGTTCTTCGCGCAAATTTGACGCATTTTACACTGCGAGAAAACCCTAATACTAGCTTGCATGTGAAAAACTTATTGACTCCTTCTTCAACTTTGCTAACTGGAGGCTATTCCTGACCACTTTACCGTGGCTAAGTTCATTCTCTAAATAGCAATACATCAAAGCACAACAACCTTAAAGATGTACATGATTACGAGCAGATATAGATTCGTCTACAATCCTTAGAATAGCTGGATTTTATAAAAATACAGCCATGTATTGTTGTGAACATTTTTCATGATATGAGATACACACTGAGCGAACTTCTAAAAAAAACTGGTGGCTGAGACCCTAATCAGCCATTTTTTTTTTGTTACGCCACTGATAAAACGTTAGCATATGCTGTCATAAGGTAGACTAGGATATGCCTGAAGAAATGAGCACACAACACACTAATCTTTTTGAGCAACGTTGCGCATAAAAGTACCCACTATTAGATTTATCTGTAGTTCTTCCACTATGACAGAAAAAATTAACAGGTCAAAATCGGGACTAATCATAGAACGAATCGAACCTCTAAGAATTCAAGTATTGATCAAAATCTAATATTCACTCATATAAGTTAGACTTTCTTTTGTGACAACATTACGATTTATATATCTTTCAACCTAACATTCCTATATGGATATACGAGATGCATATCCAAACAATTTACTTGAATGATTTAGACATCTCTACTGCTCTCGATCTTGAAATATTCATGCTTATGATAGAAACTTTAGACAAAAAAAGTACCTATGAATGTCCGAGAATCTTCGGGTTTCTTTGCTAATATATGTTATCTAATATAGTACAATAATCAATCATTTATTGACACGTGGTTGATCAAACACAATTTTACAGTTTGTTTTGCGTTGATTCGATTATCTTTGTTGCTTTTGCTGCTTAACATAAAAGCTTCTCGTTCTCGAAATGAAAAGAATTAAGGAGGAAGTATGCGAGAGTAGGATGACTATTTCAATATCCAGATAAATGTTAATCTAAAGTATTGAAGTTTTGAAAAGGTGCAACATTTTCCAAAGCACTCATATTGCATATTGTTGCAGTTCCGCTATAGCAGACTGATATGATGTCTTATAAGAGTTTCCAGGAAAGTAAATGACTTGTCAGAAACTATATAATCTTACTGAAAACAAAAATATTTTTTTCAACAATCTACGAAGTTCACAGCAATAAAATGTTCAGTGGAGGGAAATCATATACAGCGGTGCTCAAAATTGATCGTACACCTGACAAATGACCTTGTTTCTCTAATATCTCAAGATAACTTCAAGATATAAAACTGCGATTTTCGCCAAAATATAGCCTGATTGTCATAGTTTATCTGCTGAAAGTTTCATCTCTTTGAGTCGTACATTTGTTGTACTAGGTCAAAAATAGTAAAATGATCTTTTTTGATTTGGCTCAAAATTGACTATACACCGCACGTAAAAATATATGAAAATTGTACAAGTGGATGTTCTCCATCCCATGCTTTCAAATGAGAATACGTGTTCAGAAAAAATTCTTTAAAGAAGTTCTACTTGCTTTTCCGTACCCCGGCACTTCGTCTCGTTACTTTTCGTCATGTACAACTCGTCCCAATTGCACTTAGTCCCTTTACAATTGGTTCTCCTACAATTCGTCCCAACTGCATTTCGTCTCCTTACATTTCGTTCCAACTTGATCTCAACTCATAATTTTACTAAAGTCAATCTTTATAGTTTTACTCAAAAATATATATTGTGGCTACTTCCATGGTACTTGTGACACGAAATACACAACATTCACCAAATCGTT